CCCAGCTTCCCCCCCCCCCAGTCCCGCACCCCACATGTCCAGACCCTGGAAGACTAAATGGGCCACTGAGCTCCAAGGCTCTGAGCCAACGGTTTTAAAGAGCCTGGCCGGGGGCTACTCACCACCCCTCTGGACCCCCGGGGGCTGAGCTCAAGATCAGCCCCATTTCCATGTCCCACTGTCTCCCAGCTGAGAGAGGGACCCCAGGGCGCCTTCCAGGCCTCTCCTCCCTGCTTCCTGCTGGTCGAGGCCGTGGGTGGGTCGTGGGCCGCCTGCAGGTAGAGCGGGCAGACCCAGCACCAGGGCCTCTGCCTTCCTGGTGCCCCTGCTGTGCCCGGTGCCGGCCCACCACCCACTTCCCCTCCCACTGCTCCGCCTCCCCAGTCTTCTGAGCTTCCTCTAGGCCCTGCCTGCCTCAGGCCCCTCTCCTGGGGCTGGCTCTCTGTTCCTGCCATCGCGATGGGGCGACAGGACCAGGCCGTGGGGTCCTGCTCAGGTGCAGTCAGAGACTCTGAGAGCCCGACAAGGTCACCGCTGAGTTCAAGGCGTCAGGCATGCTCCGCAGGAGCCTTGTGAGAATCGGATGAAATAATCGGGGGACGCTGACGGCAAATTGTAGGCCCCACAGAAATGAAGGGACACTGTGGGCCCCTTGGGCACCGTTGTCCAGACTCGGCTTCTCCTGGTTAGAACCCGAGCCCTGGCACGGGCCTGAGACGGGAATGTGCCATTCCTAACATTCCTAACTACTTTGGGCCTCAGTTTCAAAACCTGTACAATGGGCTTCTCCCCCACAAAGAGCCACCAGGAAGTGGAAATGGGACCGAGAGAAGCACCCGATGGGCTGCTGTCTCCATCCGGCCACACGTGCTCAGCCCGGCTGCTCACGCCACCCGCGTCCCCTGTGGCGGAGGCAGGACTTGCTCCACACAGGCATGAGCCTCTCTCAAGGGGAACTTACCTGCCAAGGTAACCAGTTAGGGAGGGAAGTCATATTTAAACACACGGTTTTCATTTCTAGCATCTTTAACAAACAGATAGACAGACAGACCCCTGCCACCCAGCTGATAGCCACCAAGTCCTGACTTCACCACCACCGGCCACCGAGATGCTCTGCGCAGGGACTGGCTTGCCGCACACGAGGAGGCCACGGCGTGGGGGCTAAGCCACCGCCAGAGTCCCAGCCACCTCCCGGGGGCTTGGGGCTGATATTGCCACTCCCTGCACCCGCCTGGCCCAGCCTGGCAGGTCACCAGGCCCAACTCTGGTTCCACCAGCAAGTTCACAAGACCAGCATCCCTATGGGAACCCCAGCCCCCCTCTAGGCTCCTCGAGGTGCTCCCGGCCCCTCAAAGGCCCAGCCCAGTCCTCCAGGCATGGCACCAATGCAGGTGAGCCCGGCATGGGCTCCGGCTGCTGACAGAAGGCAGGGGCCTCGGCCGCACACGGGCGTGGGCTTGACTCCTGACTGTAATTCTGAGCATGCACGCTGAGTTGGGTTTGCTCGTCTGTAAAAAGGTACTTCCATCCTCAGGGCTGGAGGAGGACCCCCAAGGCCGAGACATGGAAGGAGTTGAGCTCCCACACCACCGGGCTCCTAGCATTGTCCTGTTTGAGGGAAGGGAACTCCCTCCCTGAGGCCGGGGAAGGCGCGGGGTGAGAACGGGGACCAAGGCCTGGCAGGCAGACGGCCACATGCCAGGTCCCAGGCAGACGCCAAGGTTCGGCCAGCACGAGTGCAAAGGGTTTTAGTCTGGCCTTTGTCCGGCACCCTCACGTCTCCCTAAGCTGAGCTGGCACTGCCCAGCAGCCCTCTGGTCATGCCCCGTGGCCGTCATCGCTCAGCTCGCTGGCGCTGGGGGTGCCGGTGCAAAGGGGGAGAGGAATGGCCCTCCCGCCCAGCTGCCGTGTGCCAGGCGGGCAGGGCTCTCCCGCTGACCTCAGTGGACCCTCGGAAGCACCCGTCCTACTCCCCAGATCGAGAACAAGAACAGGGAACGTTAAGTGGCTGTCCCAAGGTCACACAGGTCATGCTGGTGGCCCAGGATCGGCCTGCCCGCCTGGCTCCCCTGTGGTCAGCGGCTGCCCGCCACCTTCCACACGGCCTTGCCCGCTCTCCTTGCCCCCTCCCCCCCGTCCCGTTCCCTGGGGGCCTCCAGGGGCTGATGTGTTTTCATCCTCTGGAACCTACACAGCCCGGGGAGGGGGCCGAGCTCTGGTCCACTGGGCTCAGCGTGGCAAGCAGCCGCCCTTCAGGTTCCTGAACACACGTGAGTGTGTCCCTGCCGCTGCTGGGCATCAGGTCGTGCGCGTTCACCAGCGTGTGGGATCAGGACAGCGGCTCCTCCTTGAATTCGTCCCACAGGCTCCACAAACATGAGGCAGTGACCACATCAGCGACCTCTGACGCTTAGAAGAGAAAATAAATAAAATGGAATGCAACCCGCCTGCCTGGGAGGGATGAAGCTGCTGCCTGGGGCTGGGTGTTTGCATGAGAAGGGCTTCTACTAGCTGGTGGGCTGAGTGAGGCGTGCAGGGCTGTCCAGCTCCGTGGGCGGGGAGGGAGGGGACAGGTGCGGGGCCCAGACCCTGTGCCCTCCGCTCACCTGCAGGCTGAGCCCCCGCATTCCTGCGGCTCCCGGAGACCATCTCAGCAGGCGGTCAGTGCTCCGCAGAAATGACAGTGAGGGCAGGTGCGGCCCCTGGGCCGGTCAGCTCCCAGCTTCCCCTGCGCTCTGGGGGCTTCTAGAGGGGACCTGAGAGGCAGGGATGGTGAGCGGGGTGGAGAGGTCTCCACAGGGGCAGAGGGAGGTGAGAAGGGGCCTAAACTGGTGAAGGGCCTGGTGTCCTGCAGACCAGGGCTTGAGGCCAGCAGAGGCTGCGCACGCCTTCCCCACAGCCCGACCACCGGGCTCCCTCCTCCAGATGTAGCCATGGGGGGGCGCAGGCGCAGGCGCAGCGGGTCTCCGGGGGCAGCGGCCGGTGCTCTTCCATCGCCTGCTGGGACCGCGCTGCACCATCTCACGCGGCCCCCCTCAGAGGCAGCCGCCCAGTGGGCAGGGCAGGGCCCCCAGAACCTGCCTTCCTGGGCTCACACGGGGCTCCGCCAGCTTAATCATGTTGCTTAGTCGCTCTGCTCTGCAAAATGGGGATGAGAATCCCTACCTCAGGGCTGTTCTGGCGACGAGACGAGGAAATACACAGAAAGCAGTTAGAGCCCCCCCCCCGCCTCGGTAACTATGGGTAAATGAGTGCGCCCGCAGCTGATGAGGTTACAGATCATGTCCGAGGGAGGAGGCTCAGCCCCGTCCGCACCCTCTCCTCCCCCGGCACCTGCCTTCCCGTGTCCCTCTGTGCCGTTGCCTGCATGCTACCCCTGCGTGTGTGTGTGGGCGTGCTGTGTTAATTCTGGGGTTACTGAGAGTGGGGGGTGTAAGGTAAGTCAGGGCTTTTCTTAAGCTGTGCCGTTCACACATCCTGATGACAGCTCATGGTAAGACCAGTGTCACAGGCCAACACACACACAGAAGAAAGGGGCCGGTGCAGGGAGAGGAGTGGAGGGGACAGGAGGGCTGGTTACCACCTCCACGTGGACCACAGCTCTTGGCCCCTTTGGGGGAGGAGCCGGCCCAGCTGCCTCTCCTGTGAGGGGCCTTAGACACGTGGAGCCAAAGCAGGTGCCCCCACGCCCCAGGCAGATGGCACTGCCCTCTGCCCACCTCTGCAGGGCCTGGGACAGGGAGAGACTGAAGGGAGCTGGGACTCTGGGCTCATTCCATCCCTGGACCCTCCTGTCTTCCCACATATTCCCCCTGCCCCGGCCCTGCCCTGGCCCTTCCCCCCCTGCCCCATGGGGTGGCCCTGCTCCCCTGCCCCGGCCCTGTTCCTCCAGCCTCTTGCTTCAGAGCGGTTCCCTGGAGCTCAGAGGGCTTGCAACTGGGTGGCTGGCAGGAATGCAACCTGAGGGACGCCTTTGCTCCATTTCAGAATGCTTCCCCGGCAAGGACTCCAGCCCGGGCATCACCTTCCAGGTCCTCCCCCGGCATGTCACCGTCCGGCATGTCACCGTCCGGCAGGCAACCGTCCGGCAAGTCACCGTCCAGCAGGTCACCATCCGGCAAGTCACCGTCCAGCAGGTCACCGTCCGGCAGGTCACCATCTGCCAGGCCGGCCTCCACAGCATCCCCTCCGAGGAGAGTGCACCTGGTCAGAGCAACACCCGTGGGGGCCACACCCACCCGGGCCTCTCCTGCCACATCAGCACCAGCCACCAGGGCCGCCGGGGAGACCCCAGGTGAGGGGCCGGCTGCAGGAGGAGAAGGGGGGCCGTCCGTGGGGGGAGGAAGGCTCGGCCTTGGCTCGCCGCTCCTCCTCTGCGCCCTGGATGGCCATGCGTGGGAGGAAGGGAACGGTCAGGGGGCAGCAGGGGACTGGGCAGGGAGGGGCCAGAAGGAGTCATTCATGCAAAGTGGGGAGGGGCTGGAAAGCAGATCCGCAGGGGGAGTCGCTGTGGAGGCTGCACAGGGGGGTCGGGTGCCCATCTCAAGGGCACGGGCTCCAGCCAGACCCCACAGGGCAGGCCCCTCCCACCCTCACCTCCCACTGCCGCCTGCCCCTAGGTGCCCGCTCCCCCAAGTTCTCCTGGCAGGAGGGCCAGAAGCGGCTGCCGCTCATCGGGTGCGTCCTGCTGCTCATCGTGCTGGTGGCTTCCCTCATCCTGCTCTGTGAGTGGACAGGCCGGGGAGCATGCGCCATGGGGGGGGCAGTGCTGTGGGGGGGTGCACCATGGGGGGTATGTGGCCATGGTGGGGGTGCTGGGGCACAGCAGGAACACGGAGGCCACCACTGCAAACAGCCTCCGACACGGTGCCCCCAGGCCCCTCTGAAGCCCGGGTTATGAGTGTGGGGAGTCAGAGAAGCCTGGGCTTCCGGCCCTGTCCTTCCCCCTGAGCCGCTCCCTGGGCAGGTTGGTGCACCACTCAGAGCTCAGCTTCTGCATCTTTAAATTAGATGAAATTCATTTGTTCACTCATTCATTCATTCACTCATTCATTCAACTTACTGTGTGGCCAGGAAAGTCTCGTAAAGACTTCACGGGCGATGAGGAATCAGTGAGATATGGCACAAGGCCTGGCACAACATCCCCCTGGGAAAAGCTGGTTATTACAAAACAAACACAAGCGCTCCGATCAGGAGAAGTCTCGGGCGTTTCCCGGCACTGAGATAAGTTGTTCTGGGTTGAGGAGTTCCCCTCTTTGGAAACGACACTCAGGACGTGTCCCGGGCCCTCTGTCAGGGGGTCCGCTACGAACCCAGCACAGTGGGCCTGGGGGGGGCACCCTTCTCTCTGTGAGCAGCCCTTCCCTCTCCCCACGCACCCTGCCACCTGCCTCATGTGCCTAGAGAGCCCCTGTGTGTCGCGTGGGTGCGCCTGGCCAGGGTGAGAGAGCTGGAATGCAGGGAGGCTGGGGGTGCTGTTCAGGGCCAGCTGTGGGGGGAGGGGGGCAGGGCCGTTGGAGCGAGGGCCATGATGGGGGGCCGTGTGCTGGTTAGAACACGGCTTCGGTGCCATGCAGACCTGCCGAAGCACGGGCTCTGCGCCTGCCCAGCTGGTGACCGGGCAGGGTAGTAATTTCCTGAGCCTCACTCCCCACCGGCCCAACGAGGTGGAGGCGTGGCTGTCACGGTGTCTGTAAGCCCGCCACGTGGGTCCACATGAACCTCGTCCAGGGCTCGGGGCTTGCTACCCGCTCTCCCTCCTGTTCCCGCAACAGGCACCTCCAGGGGACCCCCGCCCCCCATCCACGGAGAGCCCTAGGAAGAGCCTCCTGGCATAGCTCCCGCGTGCCCCCACATGCCCCAGTCCTCTGGCCCGTATCCTGCCAGCACCAGGGAGGGGGTCACACTAGAGCCCAGGCCTGACTCCCACCCAGAGCTTTCCCCACACGTCAAGGGGACCATGGCCCATCTAGGGCACAGGCCGTGGGAGGGTAGTGGGGCATGGAGGAGAGGCACATCCTGCAGATCAGGAGGGATTGGCGTCTGAACCTGGAAGGAGCAGTCACACAGGACCCCCTTCACCCCGGGGGTCACACAGGTGACCTTCACCCCGGGGGTCACACAGGTGACCTTCACCCCGGGGGTCACACAGGTGACCTTCACCCTGGGGGGCACACAGGTGACCTTCACCCTGGGGGTCACACAGGTGACCTTTACCCTGGGGTCACACAGGTGACCTTTACCCTGGGGGTCACACAGGTGACCTTCACCCTGGGGGGCACACAGGTGACCTTCACCCTTGGGGTCACACAGGTGACCTTCACCCTGGGGTCACACAGGTGACCTTCATCCTGGGGGACACACGGGTTGACCTTTACCCTGGGGTCACACAGGTGACCTTCACCCCGGGGGTCACACAGGTGACCTTCACCCTGGGGTCACACATATAACCTTCACCTGGGGGTCACACATATAACCTTCACCTGGGGGTCACATAGGTGACCTTCACCCTGGAGTCACACAGATAACCTTCCCATGGGGGTCACACAGGTGACCTTTACCCTGGGGGTCACGCAGGTGACCTTCATCCTGGGGTCACACAGGTGACCTTCATCCTGGGGGACACACGGGTTGACCTTTATCCTGGGGTCACACAGGTGACCTTCACCCTGGGGGTGGAGAGAATGGTGGGGCGGGGAAGTGGGGTCAGGGCCGGGACAGGCGGGTGAGAAGTCAGAGCCGGTCTCCCTGGCCTCCCAGGGCCGGTGTGTCCAGGCGGAGGACTGACAGCTCTGGTGAGGAGTCAGGTTAGAGACGGGGAGTCAGCCGTGAGGCGGAGACGGCTTGTGAAGCGTGTGCGTTTGGGCACCAGCATCTCCCGTTGCTCTTTGAGTGGGAAGATATTTAAAAGCACAGCGACAAGTCGTGGGGCAGGAACCGAGTGTAGGAGACAGGACACCCAGGAGCTCCTGAGGCCGAAGGCCCTCCGTGGAGCGCAGGCAGGTGCTTAGACATGTCTCTGCCTCACCCTACAGAGCAGAGGCACGGAGGCCGAGGGGCGCGGAGGGGCTCTGGGCCTGGAGGAGTGGTGCCCTGGCCACCGCTCTGGCCGGCAGCAGGCAGGGGAGCTCTCGGGGCAGTCCCCACGTCCACACCTCCCTCCCTCTCTCTCCTTCTCTCTCTCTGGGTGGCTGCTCAAGCCGGCCTGGTGCTGCCCTGCTTGCAGGAGCTTTCTGGAGCATTCTGGAACATTCCTGAGTAGCCTTTTTCTCCATACAGATGGGGGACGAGAGCCCCAGAGTTCGAGAGGGATTGCAGGTCGGTGTCTCAGAACCCCGGGCCTCGGGCTGCTCCGCGTCTCCTCGCCGTGGGGCTGGCGGTGACGGCGCTCTGTGCTTCATCTTTTCCAGTCTACTTCTGGAGGGGCCACACGAGGATCAAGTACAAGGAGGCGGTGGAGAGCTGCCCCCGGCACGCTGTGCGCTGCGACGGCGTGGCCGACTGCAAGCTGAAGAGTGACGAGCTGGGCTGCGGTGAGCAGGCTGGGTGTGCATGTGTGCACATGAGTGTGCATGTGTGTGCACGAGTGCACATGTGTGTGTACGTGAGTGTGCATGTGTGTGCATGTGTGTGTGTATGTGTGAGTGTGCACACTCCGGTGACTGCAAACTCGAATGGGGGGTGATGGACAGTGAATTGGAGGATTTGGGTTCTAGTCCCGGAGGCTTGTGTTTGAAACCTGGCCTTGAGTGCTGTGTGACGCAGGCAGATCGCTTACCTTCTCTGGGCGTTAGCCTATGTGCCCCTCCTCTTTGCCCAGCACGTGACCTCTGACACCCCCTGTGCTTTCAGGGAGGCACGTTGTTAGTGGCCGGCCTAGATGAGCGCAGAGGTGGTGCTGAGCTCCGGTTCTCAGTGGCTTTTGCAGGCTGACTGTGTGTGGCCCCAATGTGGACGACTGTGGGGGCAGGGCCCCTCCACTCTGCCTGCACGTTTACATGTGTCCTGCCCATGTCCGTGTCCATCTGTGACTGAGCCTGTCTAGTGAGGACACGGTCGGATCATAGATCACACCCCCTTGTCACTCTCTCTTTTGGGCACGTCACTGCCTCTCGGGGTGGCAGCTCCTGGCAGCGCCTGCCCTTGTCCCAGTGATGGCCCAGATCCTGCTGGATGGAGAGCCCTCTGCCCCGCCCCAGCCCCTGCCCTGCCTCTGCCCTCACCGCGTGTCATGGGCTTCTAAGCACTGGCTGGTGCCCCTCACCTCCGGGGCCAAGCTCCCGGGCATTTCCCAGGCCTCAGCGAGGGGTCCAGGACAGGTGCCTCTCAGAGCCTTACTCAGCTCATCCCCCCAGACGTGGCGCCTCCTGGGTGCTGAGGGCCCCTCTGCCCTTCTCGCCCTGCAGTGAGGTTTGACTGGGACAAGTCTCTGCTCAGAGTCTACTCGGCCTCCTCCCACCAGTGGGTCCCCATCTGCAGCGACAGCTGGAACAGCTCCTACTCGGTGAAGGCCTGCCAGCAGCTGGGCTTTGAGAGGTAACCCTTCCCCCACACCCGGGGTCCTTCCGGCTTCAGGGATGGCTCAGCTCTTTGCAGGGGCAGCTCAGGCGCCTTGCAGAGATCTCATGTTCAAATCACTCTTGGGGACCAGGGCTGAGGGCACTAGCTCGGGGGCCCTGGGGCGCACACGTCTGGGCCAGCTGTTTCCATGCGGCCAGCCCGGAGCTCTGCAGTAGGACCCACTTGTGTGGTTCCCTGCCCCTCATGCCCTTCCTCACAGTGAGTGGCCACTGCAGCCCCTGAGGACACAGGCATCTGGCAGGTCTAGGCTTCTCGCTTCTGGGACCTGGAAGCTCAGGCTGTGCAGCCCTTCAGTGGACTCTGAGCTGTGGTAGGGGTGGCCCGGGCTTGAACTCACCAAATGGGAGTGAGGTGGGCAGGTGCGGCCAGGGAAAGGCATATGAATCTCTGGCTGACGCCAGGAGGTGGAGGAGGGGGTGGGGGAGATGTGACCTTCTGGGGTCCAGTTTGCAGGCCACATGGTCACCTCCATGCTCCCTCTTGGTCTGTGTCTTGAAGTCAAGTAATGTTGGGGTCTGTCCATGTGAGCGAGGTTGTGGGGAGAAGAGCTTAGGACCTCACTGAGGGCGCTCTGTGGAAGAAGCTGCTAGAAAACCAGGCTGGGGAACGAGGACTTAGACCCAGCTCTGTCCCTGCCTCCGGCTCAGCGTTCCCACCTGGGAAGGGGAGTCTGGGTGCTCTTGTCAGGAGACCGTGGACATTTTTTAAAAATATATGTTTTTATGGATTTCAGAGAGGAAGGGAGAGGGAGAGAGAGAGAAACATCAATGGCGAGAGAGAATCATGGATCGGCTGCCTCCTGCACGCCCCCTAACTGGGGATCAAGCCCACAACCGGGCATGTGCCCTTGACCAGAATTGAAGCCAGACCCTTTAGTCCATAGGACCCTCTATCCACTGAGCCACACCAGCCAGGGCTGATGAGAGTCTTTAGGTGCCGGGTCTGGGTCTGCAGGTCCAGGGAGGCGCCGCCGCCGCAGGTCCGCGGGTCACAGTGCGGGTGGAAAGGGCCAGGTCAGCGTGTCTCAGGTGAAGCGCCAGGGTCCCCCACAGAGCCTGTTCCACCCTAGGACCAGATCCCTGGTCCAGGAGGGCTGGGGCAGGGCCTGAGACTGTATTTCCAACAAGTTCCCAGGCGGGGCCGAGGCTGCAGGGCTTGGCGTGATCCCAACTGGGCCAACTATAGGGCTAGGGGGGCAGTCGGGGTTAGGTGGGCAGGGTCAGACCCTATGGAGCCTGACAGCCCCTGCCCCCCAGCCCCTCCCCGTCAACAGGGCAGGCCAGGACCATCAGGGGGTGGAAGAGGACCCTGTATCAGAGGGCTCACTCTCTCCCTCCCCTCTCCCCTCTCCCCTCTCCTCTCTCCCCTCTCCCTTCTCCCCTTGCAGTGCTTACAGGACAGGCGAGGTGGCCTACAGGGGTGCCACCAGCAGCTTCTCCATCTCCAAATACAACTCCACCCTCCAGGAAAGCCTCTACAGGTGAGGCGGCAGGCCAGCTGCCTGGCTGTGAGCGGGAGTGAGGGGGGTCAGGGGCTGTGACGTCAGGGAGCCCCTCTCCCTGGGCCTCTCTGAGATCCGGCTTCCGGGAGCCCATGTGAGTGTCAGGAGCATCTCAGCACCGGAACTCATTCGCCACCTGCCCCCTGACTCCTTGTGCAGAGAGCACCATGGGGTCAGGGGTGTCCCAGAGTTTACCTGGTTGCCAGAGACACTTAGTAAGTTTGGGGGCCAGCCGTCAGCCAGCTGTTTGGAGTAAACCCTGCTGCAGGGTTTGGGGGGGGGGGAGCAGCAGCGGGGAAGTGCCAGGGGCCTGCGGTCAGGAGCAGGTGCCCACCCGCGGGGCATGGCCTCCCCCTGAACCTCCTCATCAGGTGTCAGCTTTGCACTGCGGCCCCACCCGGTCCCACCCCACCAAGAGGGCGCCTGGGGGCACTCCACCAGCTGGCAGTGTCTACCTCCGGAGAGGGGAGATGAGAGAAGAAGCAAGGCTCCCAGAGAAGGGGTGGGAGGGAAGGAAAGGAGCCGGCTGCTCCTGGTGCCTGCCTTGTGTCAGGCAGCGCCTGATCTATGCCAGGTGATCTGCAGGCACCTTTGCTGGCAGTGCCTGCTCTGTGCCAGGTGATCTGCAGGCACCTTTGCTGGTGAGCATCATGGAACCTGCCAGAGGAGGGTTAGGCTGCCTGCTCTGTTGTGGAAGAAGCTGGGACAACAGAGTCACCAGTTCAGACGATGGGAATCTGGTCAATGTGTGCAACCACCACTGGAAAGGGGGGGGGGGGTGGAGAGAGTGGGGAGGGTTTGACTGAGCTGTTTCCATTCCTGGTGAGCGCACTGGAGGGGCCTCCCACCACGAAGGAGAAGGTCAGAATCTCCATGTTTTTGTGCAAAAGAAATGGGATAGGAGCTGAGCACGAGTCAACCAGAGAAGGCTTCTTGGAAGAGGTGGCTAATGTGCCCTTTTCCCACCTCTGTCTTTCCTCCTTCAGATCTGAATGCCCTGCCCAGCGGTACGTCTCTCTCCAGTGTTCCCGTAAGAAGATGCTCCTCCTCCTGACTGTGGCCTGTGGGGGTGGGAATCCGGGGCAGGGAGGTGGGGCCTCTCTGGGGACCACGGCTGGCCTGGGGTCCGCCAGGAAGAGGGGCTTAGCCAGCAGGCCTGCTTCAAGGCCAGGGTTCCTGGAAGGCACCTGGACAGTTCCAACCCGGCCTTCTCTTTCCCTGACCTCAGCCCAGCAGCTTCGCTCCCCCAGAGAAGCACTTCTGGGTTCTGGGTTCTGGGTTCTGGGCGGGGGCAGCGGCCTGGAGAGCAGGGCCGGCCCACTGACTGCCCCTCTAGGCACAGGCAGAAACCTGGATCTAGAGCCAGCACCCCTGGCGGTGTATGTGCAAGGCGCTTGCTGTCTCTTTACAAGCATGAGCAAGTTTGATTCCCGGGAGGCAGGCACTATCACTGCCCCCTCACCGAAAAGACACGGAAGTGTTTACTTGCTTAAGGTCAGACCTCTGGTGGGGGAGGAGCTGACCTCTGACCTAGGGTCTGACCCCGAAGCCCAAGCTGGTCATTGGTCCCCGAGAGGACTGTGTTCTCAGCAATGGCCAGGTGGGGTGCTCCTCTGAGCGGGCCGGGCACGCGGTGCTAGGGACGGAGTGCCACCCAGACACTCTGGTTCCTCACGCTGTCCCCCGAAAGAGGAAAGAGCCCATCTGCACAGACCCCAAGGCTGCCCTCCTTGTCCACGGTTTTGGGGGGATGATTCACTCCAGGAGATGCCGGGAAATGTTCCCTGGGATGAAGGGCCCCCAACAGCATGAACTGACCCACTGAGGAACCACGTGGGCACCACGCCACCTGTGCATCGTGGGAAGTTTATGTCTCCGCTAGTTTTAGGGAGGGAATGGCGATCCCAGCACAGCGCCTATTAACTGAGGGTCATGGGAGATTGATCTGCTTCTTGAGCTCCTGACAGCAGCCCCGAGATGTCCCGTGGCAACCCCGATGCCCGCCACCGTGCCCGGCACAGGCCCAGCATATCGGGCACTTATTGGGCATTTGTTGAAATTGAGGAAGAGTGAAGGCGGCAGAGGAAAGAGGGACCTGCCTGGGATCAAACTTCCTGCTGGGTGGTCCCAGGAAGCTAGCCGCCACGGGGGCTCCTGCCTTGGCAGGAAACACAGCCATATCAGACTAAGTGGGCAGAGTGCTGCCCACGGGGGGTGGGTGCCCTCGGGACCGGGCTGCCCGAGCCTGCCCTGGGCCCAGGGAGCATGGCAGGGCTCGGAGAGAAGCAGCGCTCACGGGTCATCTTCTCTGCTTCCCCCAGACTGCGGACTGAGGGCCATGACCGGGCGGATCGTGGGAGGGGCACTGGCCCCCGAGAGCAAGTGGCCTTGGCAAGTCAGCCTGCACTATGGCACCACCCACATTTGCGGGGGCACACTGATCGACTCCCAGTGGGTGCTCACGGCTGCCCACTGCTTCTTTGTGTAAGTGCCGAGGGGCAGGTGATGCGAGGCTGCGGGGTTCAGGGTCACCGGAAGGACTGGGGTGAGGCCGCCCTCCCCTCTCCAGGGGCCCTTGGTCCTGGGCGTCTGTTCTGCATCAGGCCCAGCCTCAGATGATGCTTTTGCTTGGTGGCCCCAGGGAGAGCGAGGAGACAGGAGGAGCCTGCCCTGAAGGCCAGGCGCTGGGCTCCTGGCTGCCGGTTCCTGGAACCAGAACTTACAGGAGAGGAGCCTGGGGAGTCAGGACACTGTCTGGGGAACTGAGGGCTGGGGGAGGGGTCGGAGTGGCAGCCAGGCGTGTCCGTGAGCGGTGGGCAGGGAATGGCTGGAGAGCCGCTGCGAGCACCCTGCCCAGCAGTGAGTCCTCAGCGGCCACTCTGTCCTGCCTAGACCTCTGCTTCTACTGAGGACAGTAATACTGAGATGTGTACTGCCCCCTGACGTGATCTTTGGGGGCGTGCAGAGGAGACAGGGGGTCACTGCTCCCAGAGACCCTGCTCGGCCCCTCCCTGTCCGTTGGAGGGTGCAGGTGCAGGCTCGGGATGGCTTGGGGGCGAGGGGCATTGCTTTGCACCCCTGAGCTGAGACAGGGCGCCTCCGGGGGCCACGTCCCCCATCCTCCTGCCGCCAGGCGGGGGCCCGCAGCGCAGCTCCTGGGTAGCACGTGCCGCCCTGCGGGGGGCTGGCGGGAGGTGACGGGGCTGGCTCCCCTCTGGCCCTGCAGGACCCGGGAGAAGATCCTGGAGGGCTGGAAGGTGTACGCCGGCACCAACAACCTGCAGCAGCTGCCCGAGGCGGCCGCCATCTCCCAGATCATCATCAACGGCAACTACTCCGACGAGCAGGACGACTACGACATCGCCCTCATGCGCCTCTCCAAGCCCCTGGCCCTGTCCGGTGCGTGAGTCAATGCCCGTCACACCCGGGCTGGCTCGTCGCAGCCCTCGCCCTGGCAGCATCGGCCAGCCCATGGGGTGGGCAGAGCTTCAGTGTGTGGAGTCGGGCGCAGAGGGCACTTAAGGGGACATCGTTGTGTTACAATTAGGGAAACTGAGGCCCAGAGGTGGGAAAGGAGTTTGCCCGGATGGCACAGCTTACATGGCAAGCTAGTGCCGGGCCAGGGCTTGGGTGCGATATCATAGGATCCCTAACAAACAGGTCGCATGTTTTCCCCGTTAGTCACGGAGCCTCGCGAGGGGCAGGCACTGGGAGGCGTGTGACAGCCGTGATCGCGCTGGCTCTGCACAGCCGGTCCTGCGGGGCAGGTCTGTCGTCAGCGTAGTTTACATGGAGGAGAGGGAGCGGTGGCGGCAGCTCCAGGACCGGCCGGTGGTCCGACTCCCCGGCAACGCTCTTCCCACTCAGCTGCGGGCGGCGGGGCTGGCCGGCGGGGGACACCTGGGAGTCAGATGCCACCAACCAATTGCCATGCGGTGGGGGCTAAGGACCAATGGGGCACAGGAGGAGACGCCACTGACGTTCTCAGGGGACCGAGGAGGGCGCCACGCACGAACGCACTCACTCGGCCGTTCACTTGCGCCTGCGGAGTGCCCGCTTCGGAGTGGGCTCCGGGGCTGCCAGTGCAAATGGAGCGGACAGCCAGGGGGCTGAAGGTGGGGTGCCGGGGGGTGTCGGGGGGGAGCCATGGGCCCAGTGGGGGCAGGCGGGACAGGCAGGCTCTCCGAGGAAGGCTGGCTCAGTGGGCCGGGTTGCCGGGAGCCTGGGCGGCTCTGGTCCGTCTGGCCATGCCTGTGCTCTGGGCTGTCGGCTGCCTCTCCTGCACGTCACCTCCGGAGGCGGGTGGTGAGTCAGAGCAGTGAGCGAGCTCAGCAGGGTGGGGCGAGGAGGAGGGAACCTTGGTGCAGCCTAGCTGGCCAGGCCTGACCCAGAACTACCCCCGCCCCGAGCCACAGCCTCCTGTGGGGAGACCTCCATCCTCCTCCGGCTCCTCCAGCCTTGTCTGCGGTGCCCCTGCCCCTCCCTGCCCCCGTACACACAGGAAAGGGGCAGCGAGTCTGCAGGGCCGGAACAGGCCTTTCTGACACCATAAAGCCGTCTCCACGTTCTGTGAGGCCCGGAGGACTCACAGCCCCGGTGGGGCCGTCCTGGAGTCAGACCCTGGACCTGACCCTTGGCTTAGAAATCAGAGCAGGTCCCGTCGGCCACACGCAGGCCACGCACCTTGCGGTCACAGAGCGATCGGAGAAAACTCATGGAAACTCACTGGGAAACTTAGTTTCCCCATAAGATTAGCGGGATGTGTAACGGTTACAGATGTTCCAGACTCTGTGTTGCAAAAATAGGGACAGTATATTTTAAGAGATGGTGTTTTGCATATTTTGTTAATAATTGATACTATCCCTTCACTTATTTCTTGTTTGTTTACTCTGAGGGCAGACAGGTATGTTAGATGCCAATGTGCAAAGCCCAGTTTATAAGAGAATTTTCTTTAAAATATGTTTTTTATTGATTTCAGATAGGAAGGGAGAGGTGAGACAGGAGAGAGGAGAGAGAGAGAGAGAGAGAGAGAAACATCAATGATGAGAGAGAACCATTGACTGGCTGCCTCCTGCACACCCCACACTGGGGATAGAGCCTGTAATCCGGGCATGTGCCTGACTGGGAATCGAACTGTGACCTCCTGGTTCATAGGTTGACGGCTCAACCACTGAGCCATGCTGGCCAAGCTATAGGAGAATTCATTCTCCCTCCCTCCTTCTCTCTCCTTCTTTCAAAGTTTGCTGAGCATTTATATTCCCGGTGCAGGAAGCTGCAGTGAACAAAAGCAGCTGAGAGCGCGGCAGACATGTATCCGTGCACATTGTCTTCTCGGGAGCGGGAGGTGGTGGTCAGTGCCCCGCGGCCTGAGGAAGAGCATCCTCAGAGGAGGCACGGAGTGACCCACAGCAGCCCCGCACCTGCTCATTGCCTCTGAGGCGGGAGGAGTGAGCAGCGGTGCTGTGGCCTGAGCCTTGGAGGGCTCCCTTCCTGCCGGGAGAGGCTGACTGACCCGGAGGGAGAGCCTCGGGTCCCGGCCACCGGCCACCGGCAGGGGCCCCCCAGACCAGGCTGAGCACGCCCCGAGACAGCGTGGCCATCACACTGGACGTAGCCTGCGACTGCTCCTTGCTCTGAGGGACAGGCAGGGGAGAGACGGGCAGGAGAGCCACCCTCGGGGGTAGAGACCCCCGTCACCCAGGATCCTTTTGGTCCAAGGCATAGACCTCTGCCCACATGGCACCCCCTGGCACCAGGATGCTTGGGGAACTCTGGTAGCACCCTGAGGACTAGGGGGTCGAGATAAAGTGATTGGCTCTAGGCGGTTTGACTCAGCAGATAGAGCGTCGGCCTGTGGAGCAAAGGGTCCCGGGTTCGATTCTGGTCAAGGGCATGTACCTCGCTCGCAGGCTTCTCTCCGACCCAGGCCCTGGTCAGGGTGCATGCAGGAGGCAACCAATCAGTGTGCTTCTCTCACATCGATATTTCTCTCTGTCTTTCCCTGTCTCTTCCACTCTCTCTAACATCAATGGGAAAATATCCTCGGGTGAGGATTAAAAAAGAAAGGAAGAAAAAATAAAGTGATGGGTCAGTGCCAGCCCCGGAAGACTCAGAACTGCTCTGGGGATTGGGAAAGGCTCCTGGGACATTAGTCCCTCGTCCCTCCCCCCCACCCCCGCTCCCCCCGCCCCCATCCCCCCCACCCCCCTACCGAGAGCTCGGTGCCTCCGCTGACGTGCGGTCCCCTTGCAGCTCACATCCACCCGGCCTGCCTCCCCATGCACGGACAGACCTTCAGCCTCAATGAGACCTGCTGGATCACGGGCTTTGGCAAGACCAGGGAGACAGATGGTGAGAGGCGGGGGTGCTAGGCTGTGTGCGTGTGTGTGCCTGTGCGGGTGCCGTGTGTGTGTGTGTGTGTGTGTGTGTGTGTGTGTGTGTGTGTGCAGTGTGTGGGGTGACGTGCCGGGTAGGTAGGTAAGGGCCTAGCTAACGAGGGTTTGGGTCTCTGACCTCATGGGCCTGGGTGGGACTGTGTGACCTGTGTGTACGTCAAAGCAGTCATGTGACCGTGCCCTCCGGCTAAGACCACCGTGAAACTTCTAGAACCGCACAGGAGGGGCTCTGCTCCTGCCCGAGTGGGACACTCGCCACGGAGAGCCAGGGCGCCTCCCAGCAGGGGCGTCGGGAAGGACTCAGCACAGGGCCTGGGGCTTGGGTTTCAGGGGAGCTGTCTCTAGAGCGGATGCTGTTGGGGAGCAGGTCTGTGATCGGGTCCCTGAGTCATCTCGTCTGGGGCTGTGGCCACACGGGGTCTGCAGCTGCCATTGGCGAGGAAGCGGCGGCCGTCCCTCCTGGTGGGAGGGTGCTGGCACGGCGGTTTGCATGGCAACCTGCCTGCTTGCGCCTGTGCCCGCCCAGGTTAGGAAGCGCCCATCGCGGCCCCGGAGAGGCCTGGTCTGATGCTGGTCCCAGAGCGGCCTGGTCTGACGTTGGTCCCAGAGCGGCCTGGTCTGATGCTGGTCCCAGAGCGGCCTGGTCTGACGTTGGTCCCAGAGCGGCCTGGTCTGATGCTGGCCCTGTAGGTTTGTTTCTAGGCGCAGGAGACCGCCCAGGCCTGTCCGCCCCCCATGAGACGCAGGCCGGGCTCCCCTGCTCAGTGTGCCTGGCCGGGGAGCTGCTCTTTCTGACCTCGGCTCCCGGGCTGACCAGCTGGGTGACTGGCCGTCTCCATCTGCAGATGGGCCAGCTACACCTCCTCCAGCCCGTAGTTACTGGAAACAAAGGGAGGGCCCTGGGGGATGGCGCTTTGAGCACGGAAAAGCACCATGCAGCATGCTAGGCAGACTGAGAGGCTGCGTGTCTGTGTCCGTCTGTCTTTGTCACGTGTAGTGAGCTGTGTCTGGCGTGAGGGTGTGTGTGTGTGCACATGTCTGGGCGGCCAACCCCAGGGATGGTGCCTTCCACGCCGAGGGGCTGAGTTGGGGTCCTGGGCAGTTGGAAGGCCGGAAGCTGACATCTGACCCCCCCCCCCACTCCCTGAAGAGAAGACTTCCCCCTTCCTGAGGGAGGTGCAGGTCGGCCTCATCGACTTCAGGAAGTGCAACGACTTCCTGGTCTACGACAGCTACCTCACCCCCAGGATGATGTGTGCGGGGGACCTGCGGGGCGGCCGCGACTCCTGCCAGGTGAGCTGCTCCGGGTGGGGCTCAGGCTCCGGGACCCAGGGCCGTGGGGGCGGCGGAGGTGCTGATCAGAGGGGAATCGGGTGCCCAGCTTCCTGCACAAGGCCCCTCCCCCGCTCTGCTGATGCGTGTATTCCTCACAGGGGGACAGCGGGGGTCCCCTGGTCTGCGAGCAGAACGGCCGCTGGTACCTGGCAGGGGTCACCAGCTGGGGGACGGGCTGCGGCCAGAGGAACAAGCCCGGCGTGTACACCAAAGTGACGGAGCTCCTGCCCTGGATATACAGCAAGATGGAGGTGAGGCTACGGGGCACTGCCGGCGGGGCAGCGCCCACAGGGGCACCGGGAGAGGGCCCCTTCCCCGCTCTCAGCGGGCCCCTCACGTCCCCCTACTAGGGGGTCACAAAGTGCAGAAGACAGGACAGGACAGGGGTCACACCCTGGGCCAGCCCCGCGATAGGTACTCTGCACTCCTCGTCCTTGAGCAGAGCAGGGTCCGAGGGTTCAGGGGGTGGGCCTGCGGGGGTGTGGCCAGTGCTGCTCCTCTCCCCGGGATGGGGGGGCGCACTGTGCATCACACAGGCCACGGACAGCTGGGGGACGGGGGAGGGGTCCAGGGAGGAGGGAGGGCTCCCCTCCTGGAAGTGGGTCCCTGGCGGAATGGGGGTGTCAGGAAGTGGAGGTTCACCCCTCCAGCTGAGCCAGCCCTCCCTTCCCGGGCCAGTGTCTGAGCTGGAAGGCCGGTGCTCTGCCTGCTGAGGGCAGGACAGTGGCGCTCAGAGGGGACAGGGGAGCCACCGGGGCTCAGAACCCGCCGCCATGGCTGTCCCTTCCCTCCTCTCCGAGGGCCGCCAGCCGACAGGCGGGCTGAGTGGAGGCTCTGAGCCGCCGTGTCTGGCTCGTGGGCCCCGGCTCAGCCTCCCCTGTGTCCCTCCCCCACAGAGCGAGGTGCGCCTCCGGAAGCCCTGAGCGGCCTGCCTACCTCACCCGCTGCTGGAGGCTGCGAGGCCGGCCATGCGGCACCTGGCTCAGGCCACCGGGCCCTTCTCCGCTGCTCCCTGCCTGCTGCTCAGCGGACATGCAATGTGTGTGTGCGTGTGTGCGTGCGTGTGTGTGTGCTTGGGGTTGTGTGCATGCATGTGTGCACGTGTGGGTTGTGCATGCATGTGCTTGCATGTGCTTGCTCTCCCAAGATCTTCAGAAACCAGGAGGGCGGTCAGCTCTTCCCAAACCCCAGGCTGGACACCTGGGAACCACAGTGTGGCGCCTGGAGACACCCACAGGTGTGTCCTGCGGAGGAGAAGCGCCGGGAAGGGCCTGGAAGGTCACATCGGGAATTGTCGCCCCTCTGGCCCAGAACACGCAGCCGCCGGCAGCCCGGTGACACCAGCACGTCCGGGGTGGTGACGGTCTCGTCCGAGCGCCCGCCGTCCCTGGCAGGAGGATGCTCCGTTGGCATCGCCAGCATCTGCCCCCTGCCTACCCACGGCGCTGTGTGTAGAGCGTGGCCGCGCCGGCCGGGCTGACCCGGGAGACAGGGGTCACCGATCGTGTTTGGTCACAGCGGTTGGGTGTGGCCTTGACTTTATTTTTATATTTAAGAAACAGAGTTGGATGTATTTTTAAAGACTCTCCCCAAATGCCTGCAGATAGGAGAGCGAGCATCGGTCACGCTCAGAGCTCCGAGGGCCCACGGGCCGAGCCTCCCCGGGGCTGGGGCAGGTTCCCGGCCTCCGGGGCTGCGGGGCTCCTGTGCCTCCTCAGGGAGGTGAACCTCGGAAAGGGGGCGGACCAAGGGCAGAGAGAGCCACCTGGCGCTCACTCAGGGCTCCGCCCGGGGCATGAGGAATGGGTGCTGCTCCTCCTTGGGCCCCGGAGGCGGGGAAGCCGTCTGGGGACTTCGGAGCTTTTTCTCCGCTTTCTCCATTTCCATCTCTCAGCTGTTTCCGAAACATAACACTGACATGAACGTTGCCATGGAGAGGACGCGGACACTGCCCCCAGGGTCCCCCTCCCCACGGCTCTTCTGAATGCTCCCCTGCCCGGCCCTGCGAGCCCTCAGGGCACCTGCCTCCATGGCAGCCCCAGGCCTGGACCTCCCAGCCTCGCTCCCACTCCTCCCGTCCGGTTCTCCTCACCGGGCCTGGGCCTGTCTGGTGGTGTACGGCTCCCAGAGGCAGGGCCCAAGCAGATCGCCCGACCCAGCCATGGCAGGCAGCCGCTCCGGGAGGTTGCCTGGAAGAGCAGGTGGAGTGGCGAGTGGCTGGGCAGCGCTGGAGGGCTGGCCACGTGCTATGAAGGCTGGGGGTGGAGGGCGGGCAGCGTGACCTCCCCCAGCCCCCAGCAATGGCCGTCAGCAATAAAAGTCGTGTGAACACGTTGTCACTGGATTGGTCCTGGTACCCGAGGTAGGAACTAGAGAAGGCCCACGCGGCCGCGCAGACACGCAGTGTGGGTTCTGAGTGTTGGTTCCTCTGCTCCGGGTTCGGCTCCCTTCGCCATCGCTCCTTTGTGGACTCAGGCACCAGCCGTGTCAGCCTGGTCTGGACCAGGTGCCTCTACCAGGCCCGGGGACACGAAGACACGACGGCGGCCTCAGGTGCCCACAACTGTGACCGACATGGGGGCGGCTGAGGCTGAGTCTGGGCACCACACGTGGAGCACGGATGGAGCAGCCACAGCTGTACCCACAGAGGCCGGGGAAGGCCTCACAGAGGAGGCGAGGTTTGAAATGAGTCTTCAAGGGCAGGCGAGCAGACCGAGCGGACGGAGATGGGCAAGGACACTCCGTTCTGTCCTTCCTCTCCCGGGCCGCCTCCTTCTCCGCCTCCGACTGTGCGGGCTCAGGGAGGGGCGTGTGCGCAAGAAGCCCCAGAGCTCACTCAGCTCTCCCCACGGAGATGGGTGGGGGGCCCCTGGCCTCCTCTGAGAGACGTATTTCTTCTTGCTCTGCCCTTACTGTTCCCTGCGTTTACTATGCTGACCTCAACCATTGCGATCCCCCTGGGGGGGGCCAGCACCCCCAGGACCTCACGATACACACACAGCGTCCGGCCACCAGCAGGGAATTCTCCAGGCTGGCCCCCACCCGGCCTGGCCTTGTTTGCTGCTTTGGTCTCTCTTTTGATGCCAGGGGCAGTCCTCCCTCCAATTCTTTTTTTTTTTTAATAAATAACTCATAAGATTCATAATAATATTTTTATTGATTTCAGAGGGAAAGGAAGAGGGAGAGATAGAAACATCAATGATGAGAGAGAATCACTGATTGGCTGCCTCCTGCACGCCCCCCTACTGGGGATCGAGCCCACAACCCGAGCATGTGCCCTTGACTGGAATCAAACCCAGGACCCTTCAGTCCACAGGCCAATGCTCTATCCACTGAGCCAAACTGGCCAGGGCTCCAGTTCTTTTTTTGCTTCATCCAAACAAGAAGGTCTGAGGAGAGGGCAGATGCCAGGCCTGCTGTGTCGCCAGGAGGTGTAACAGCTGCTGTAATGGATCTACCGTTTCCCACAATCTTCAGTGGCTTAACCCAACCCGCAGTTTTTCTTTCTCAGCCGCCTACCCAGCCCAGGTGAGGGGTGCCTGCTCAGGGCTGCG